TCTCTCTCTCTCTCTCTCTCTCTCTCTCTCTCTCTCTCTCTCTCTCTCTCTCTCTCTCTCTCTCTCTCCTTGCTTGGCTCTTCCTATAAAGAAACACTTGTCGCAAAATAAAAATTATTGCTTCCAAAATCGCTTGAACTTCTCTAGAAAACTGGTAAATAACAAACTATAGGAAACAGTATATGTCCAATATGACATCTGACGAGTGGTAGTGGAGGCTGGGCGAACGGGGCTTTGTGTTATAGCAGAATGACTAAGCAAATTTACTGGGAAAGCGCAAAAGACAGAGGAATACGGGTGTTCTCGAGATTATTTTGCTCTAGAGCGTGATCGAATAGCTGGCCGAGGACCGGTTATGGATGGGAAGAGATCTATCAAAATGGTACGTTGTCCCTTAGCCTCGCGCACTCTAACCGTGTTGTTTTCCAAACACTCGACGGAAAGCTGTCGTATTTGTCGCGACAGCGTTATTTTCCCTCGACCTGCATCGAGTCATTTTATTATACGCAAATGGAGCGATTTCGCGTCTCATTATCTTGCGCAAAAATCGCGAGTTCTTACGACGTAACGCTTCTCGTTATTGATGCAGGATCCCTTATCACCAAACCCTGGTCTGGCAATAAACGATGACGAGCTCGTCACGATATCGGTGCGAGACTTAAACAGGCAATTAAAAATGCGTGGAGTGACCAAAGAGGAGATAGTGCGTATGAAACAGCGGAGACGCACGCTGAAGAATAGAGGTTATGCGGCTAGCTGTCGTATAAAGCGCATAGAACAGAAGGACGAGCTGGAGACTGAAAAGTCTCAGGAATACCGAGATATGGAGGAGATGCACGAGAATAATAATCGTATGAGAGACGAGATAGACTCCTGGTACGTCAAGTTCCAAGCACTGAAGAAATTCGCCCTGGAGAAAAAAATTATGATCCCGCCAGAATTGGAGATGGAACCTAAGAAATACGATTAACTAACGATCAAATATATTTGTCGATTGCAACATATACACATGTTAAGGATGAGAGTTTGATGAGTACTATAGTAATTGTTAATTTTTATGATTTTCAAATGGATATAGAAGGGAACTATTCATTTTATATGTATAGCTTTTAATGTAGGGACAGTGTGATATATGAAGCGTGTATGCAATAAAGCTACATAACATAGATATTTAAATTGCAAGTTACATGTTCTATTATGTATATAAGCAATATCATGTAAAAATCATATAAAAATTATGATATGCAAATGCACATGAAACTGGCACAAAAGAAGGGAATATTGTGACTCCATTAATTCTCATTTATTTTCACCTTCAGTACATAATAAAAATATTAATCTGCTAACCACGTGAACATTTATTGAATTACCAAGCAATCTGTATTTTTGTTTATCAGTGGTATGCTCTGGAAAGTCGAAATTTTCCGGGAAACACATTAATCTGCACACCTCTCGAGGCGAGAAGAATCTAAGCTTTAATTCTGACAAAATCTGCGTTTTCTTGTCTGAATCATCCTCATGATTGGTAGCTTCATCATACTTCAATCTGATAGTCTCATCCGGAAATGGACAATACACGGAACCCGTGCCTTCAGCATAATGACCATATCCTTTGGTGAAGCAACAAGAACCATTGCTTTCACGTGTCCTTATATCTAACACCCATGCTCTTTTCCTTAATAATTCTGAGGGTACCGAATACTTAGATTGCTCTACATTTTCTAAGATATTATTAAGTGTATAGCATATTCTGCCAGATTTACAATTAATTTTACCACTTTTCTCTGCCAGTAGGGAGTGCTGACTTTTTGGCAATAATCCTGATAATTCAGACGATAAATCATTTTCCAATACAGTTTGTTTGAAACAGAACTTCAGATCTTTCCTCTTTGCTAACAAATAATATCTGTGTCTACTGTTTGGTATACCAAATTGGCATGGACTCAATATTAATTCTCTATAAGCATATCCACATCTTTCTAAACAATCTACCAATTTGTCTCTCATCTGAGACACTTCGAAACCTTTAACATTCTCCAGCAAAATATATCTCAAACTTTTTAATTCAGATATCAAGCTCAAAACATGTAACAGAGAACAAGCTCTATTATCAAGAGCATCCTTTTTCAATCCTAGTCTTGTGAAAGGTTGACACGGAGGACTCATAAGTATAGTTTCCACATTCAATTTGTTCAGTTCTTGCGCACTGATAGATTGAATATTCCTGTTCATAAGAATAGTTTCTGGAAAATTGTGACGATAAACATCATTTGCAACAGGATTTATGTCAATCGCAGCAACGACTTTTGCCGCAATACCACTTTCTGAAATAATATCATGTGACAAAGAGGTTAACTTTGGGATATAATCACAAGAATTATGATTCACAAGATAATTCTCATATGTAAATTTACCGCAGAGCGCGAAATGCATTCCTCCGATACCACTGTATAACTCCAATACTCTCATTATTGATAAATTGCTCGAAACGTTGCTTGATCATCGAAGTAAATAGTACAACGTGCAGTAAAATGCAATGACAGTTCTTACATGTACCAACCGACGTTAAAATTATTTCCTAAACTGTAGAATTTCCGACCGAGAGACATACGCGCAAAAAGATGAGAAAATTACTTTTCATAATAACGCAAAATAGGCGAACTTCAATAGACAACTTTCATGTAAATAATTGGGTAAAATAAAAGTATAGCAGTGTCCGAACACGTACCTAATCCTGGAAAAGTGATATTTAAGGAGACAATGTATAATTATTGACACTTATATTTTCTGAAATTGTTTATTAAAATATAATTTACTAAAAAAAAATCTTGCACACACATCATGTGCAAGCTTAAAAAATTTATGGAATTTTATTGAATAAAATTGTACAATTTGATGTACATTATAAATGCATGCAATACAAAAATTTTTCTCACGTACACATTGCATATTTTATTTCATAAGTAAATTTTCAGAGAACAATTCTTTTAATATTTTAAAGTTTTTAAATAATATCTCTGAAATATTTTAAATTTACATATTGCATGGATTTATTACAATACGTGTATAATATAAATTTATTATTAAAGAGAGAACATAAATAAGCTATAACAGTAATCAGCGGTGATAAAAATGACGAAAATAAATTGTAACTTACGTATTCATGATTCAAATGAAATATTATTACTACTACTTATGGAGGAATGTCTAATCCTGCGTGGTAATTCAAAATGACTTTTTAAATCTTTATCTATATTATGTTCATTAGCTGCTTGATTGTTCAGCAAGGGTAGCCTCGCTTTAATGCCAACAGTTGTAGGTCGTTCGCTAGGATCGTCATGCAACATTATTTGAAGCAATTTATACTGCAAAAAGACATGTCATTATGTTCTATTTAACAGCGCGATATCAATGAACAATAAGATTAACGTATTCTTAATGACCTTACCTCAGTCGTATGTTTTTCCGCAAAATTTTTCGGAAAAATGGATTTTCTCAAATCCGTAAGCACTATTGCTCTTTCCATATCGGTGGAAAAAGGTGTAAGAAGCTCAAAGTAAATTATTCCTAAAGAGTAAATATCTACTTTGTAATTGTAAGTTTGGCCATTCGCCTGTTCGGGCGACATATATAAGTGCGTGCCGACACACGCAGTGTGTACGCAATCCATTAAAGTAGCAGTCTCATCTTCAAATTCGGGTGTACTAGTTCCATCGTAACTCTCGACTATACCAGTTACAAGGCCGAAATCGCCGACCTTAATACTATTGTCGAAAGCGAAAAATATATTCGATGGCTAGAAAAGAAAGAAGTCTTGTAGAGAAAAAGTTGATTTTTGTAGTCTGAAAAAAAGACATATACGTTATATATGCATGTATATACACACCTTCAAGTCTCGATGAATCAAACCTTGCAAATGGATATATTCCACTGCATCTATTATCTGCTGGAAAATACTTAACACTCGAGAGGGATCTCGAATTGAATCCTGCTTTAACCATTCCTTGAGACTGAGTCTTTGGCACAACTCCATTTGTATGTACAGGAACACTTTTACTGACTTACGAGCGTTTGATTTAGTATTCAAATCTAAGGCGAGCGTAGCCTTTCGACGCTTGCACCTTTCTTTCTCTTCTGTATTATTCTGATCGATTTCTTCCGTAACATTGCTACTTGTAGTTTCTCCCGTAACATTGTTACTTGCGTGTGTGGTTTCTTCCAAAACATTGTTATCGCTTCCTTCAAAAACAATACTTTCGGAATAATTGCTGTTATCAACATTAGCTGACAGCGGATCTTTAGTTATATTATTTGAAAGAACATCGGAATTGTTGGTACTATCACCGATGTAAATTGCATTATCATCACGTTGTTTTTCATTTGAATATTCAAATACGATTGAATTGTTGGTTATTTCTGTATTGTTCAATTTGTAAGCTTTATGGGGGCTTTCAATGATGTAAAGTGCATTATCGTCATGTTGCTTCTCACTTGAACATCCAATTACAACTAACTCGTTGGTCATTTGTGTATTATCCAATTTGTAAGGTTCATAAGGACGTTCCACGGATGGCGAGTCTGTTTGTGAAACGTCAATGCACACGGAATCTTTGAGCTTTGCTTCGGTTTCAGTGATTAACGATGGACAACCAGATGAGGCCAATTTGGACCATTGCTTATCGTGTTCCTCTTGCCACCCACTAGGAGGGCATTCTAGCCAAGAATTGAAATATCTTACGATATTGCGATGCTCCAACTTAGCTAATGCTCTTACTTCTCGCATTACACGCGAATCTTTACTGCAACATAAATTTTCTCATGAAATTATAGACCTGTTCTTTGTAGCTGCACTGCTGAACTGGTGCAATATATTGAAGTGAAACAAATATAAGTTTTCTCACTCTAACTTATTGCACTAGTTCAGCAGTGCAGCTATAAAGAACAGGCCTTATATTTCGTTCGTCTTATTATAAAAATTACAATGCAAAAATGCACTATACATAAAACAGAATTATATAATTAAGAACTTACTTATCTGGTAAGGTAATTCTCTTGATAGCGTAGTTACGATGATCTACTCTATTTTTTACTTCAAAAACAACACCATATCCTCCTTTACCTAAACAATCAACTTGTTCAAAGTCTGTTAGATAACGTGATTTAAAATCATTTGCACTCCCGTTTTCATCAAGAATTGTATCGTCCGATTTGGCTTCTACTGCTAGACCTATTGTTTGTACTACCACAGGCTGAAATGTCACACTTACTTAAGATGAAGCAAATTAATGACTATCTGCTAAAAAATATACTTACCGGAATTAAACCATTTTCAATATTTCGATTAAAATATTTCAGAGGCCATGTAAAATGCAAAAAGACTATAATTGATATCGCTAGAATTATTTCCCTGAAAACATAATAATTAATATAAATGTTCCGGTAATAAATATTAATATAAATGTAACATTAAAATTTGTATAACTTTCAAAACTATTCTTACCATCTATAGAAAAGTGACCAAATTATTTCAATAGATTTATTATTTTCTTCTTCTATGTAAGTTAACATGGGTTTTTCCATATCTAAAGTAGACTTGCTATTGTTATATCCTTCAACAACCGGCTTAATCTCACTTATCGCATACAAATAAAATCCGTTGCCTATAAAACAATAATTAAGTAATAAATGTAAGAAACTTACAATTCTAAACCATATCAAAATTTTCGAGAATATAGAATAGAGAAAGTCAGCCTCCACCTCACCATTAACATATTCAGAATTATACAACACAGACAATGCAGTTGTACATTGCACTTCATTTATCGCAGCAGAAACTTCACGATTATCATTTTTATTTGATAAAGTATTTTTAAGAGCAGTTCCTAGAATTATATTTGCTACTATAGTGATAGTACAGTATGTGTACATATACAGAGCTGCTATTACGTTCACCCGTGCCGACAGTTGTCGAATCGGTAGGCGTCGTTGCACAGTTTTCCACGATATAAAAAAGCTGCGCAATGACGCCTACCGATTCCACAACTGTTGGTACGCGGAAACAGAATAGCGGCCTAGTGCTGGGATTCTGTAACTCGTTATTGTAGTTAACGAGTTACAGAATCCCAGCACAGGACAATTAAAGCTATAACATTATATATATGAAAGCCGAATGCGTAAAAAAGCTTAACTTTTTCATACCAATAGCTGGATATGGTAGCCACGGATATACCATAGGTTGAGCATGTTTCACAGAAGACGAATCTCTTAATGAATTTTTTAATTCCAAGTTTTCTTGCACGTACAATTGCCTCTGATGCATACCTACATATAAACTCGGGTTGTTCGTTGAATATTTCGTTCCCCAAACCCATTTAGTACCATCAAATAAATTGATTCTTTCCAAAAAATCCTGATCTGTAGTATCTTGGTTTGCATTTTCACGCCATATTGAAACAATTGGAGAGTCAAACTAACAAACAATAATAATACTTAACATTAACAAATTTATATATTTGTACAAACAATTATACTAACCTTGTATTGCCACAACTTGTGGATAGGGTCACTTTCATTAACAGCCCAAACCAATCCTTCTGGAATTATGGATTTAATTTCAACATCTAGTAAGGTAACTTTATCAGGGCAATATGTTTCTGTGGGAGGTACCAGCACTAAATCATGTTGCCCGACACTGAAATTCCACCTTTAAACAAAAGAAATAAAAATATGCAAATTTAAACAAAAGAAATATTATAAAATTGTTATTGTAAAATTCTGTCTTGTGTTTTTCTCTCTTGACTAAAGACATTATAATTATAATGTTAATCATAGTAATGAACAGCATAATAGTACAAGAAACATATTGTATAATTTACCTTTCAATACCTGTACGAGCTTCTACAGCTCGTATAGTTTGTTGAAGACGTTTAATGACAAGTACTTCTTGTTCTAAGTATCCTTCACCACCTGTATTGTTTTTGCATCCAGTGATGTCACATTCATACAGAATTTTTCCTGTTCTGGTGTGCACGCCTGTCAAAATATAAAATATTAATATTATTACATAATATTAATATCAAAGTTAAAATCTGGCTGTAATAAGCTCTATATATAAAATTATCATGAACATGTTATTTGACTACAAATACTACACAAAATATAGCTATAGTTCACACAGATATTATACCAAAATATAAAAATTCAAATTTACCATAAGAATGTACTTCTTTACCACCTGAGAAGATTAAATCATTGGAATAACGATAGGAGGAATGCAATAATTGATCTGTTGTTATTGGTAGTGTTTCCAAATTGTCACCATCAAATTTATACAAACCACCGTTCAACGATGGGATCAAACGTATCCATTGTCCATTATCATTGAGCTGTAAATTAATTTGTGTTACCATTTATGTTACCACATATATTAGTTCTGGTTCACAACTCTGCTTCAAGAAACCATAAGTCAATTGATCAATTAATTATTGATTACTCCAATTGGTTGCGTAATAGTTATAATAACAGATTAATCAATTTGCTTGCGGCTTCTTAAAGCAAAGTTATGGAACAAGGTTTGTGTCTCAGAAGACAATATATATATATATAGAAGGATGAGTCAATTGCTATTACAGTAACTAATTAACATTTGCAAAAATGTTATTACTTCTCTGTTATGAATATTGGATGACAACATTGGTTTATTGCCAAAGTCCAGAGACCACTGTTTTTGTCCATTATTAGCAGCATCTAAAGCAGATATCTTCCCATCCAAGGTACTGACGAATATCAAACTTGAAAAATGATATCTCTTTAGCATGTAAGTTACATAAATTTCACTTAACTTTTACACAAAGAAAATTCTTTAAGTTTTTGGAAAATACTCAAGGGATCATAAATAAATCAATGAACACAATTAAATTTGCATTCGACATATATTGATTTTATATCTACGGATTTAAAATTGTTACATGAGAGGAGTAGAGAAATCGTTAAAGAAGTCAAATTTATAAAGAAAATTCTCCTCTTTGTCAGGGCATCACTGAAATTCGCTTTAGTTAGATCAAACGGAAAAAGTACACGTCACTAAACAAATTACCTGCGTAGATGCCCGGATTGTTGAGTGCATAATGTCAACTGTTTTGTCTTGGCAGTATCATCAGCGATAACGAAATAACAGGAGATCGAGAGGAGTATCACCCAGTAGTTAAATGACAATCGTTGCGCCAAAAATTTACGAAGCATCTTTTCACCACGAAATTAATCAGTGTTCGCGCGCATTCTCGTCGAGTATATACATATATTTTTCGCACATATATATATCTGTATATTTATTTATTTATAGGAGAGTCAAACGTGTTCGTGCTTAAACTGATTAGAAGCGACTGACGTATACTTATAATATATGCGTACACCTGACCTAAGATCTGTTCGTTTCCGAAGAATTTCTGAACTAGTGCAAAAATTAGAGGAAAAATAAGCTTTTTTCAGAAAAGGTTTTACGTCAAGTGTCTACACACTTGATATTTCGCATAATAGTACGAAAAACGAACAGACCTCTAATCGATACCTCTAGGCCCTTATTCTTGAAATAGTTGCGTATATGTAAGTTTTACTGCGCAGCTATTTTATGATATGATTAAACCTGCGCAGTAAACTTACGTATCGCAACTATTTCAAGAATAAGGGCCCTGTGCTGGGGGATTCTGTAACTCGTTATGTTGGAGTTAACGACAGTTTTGTTATCGTTGCGCAACTTTCTTACAGTATATAAAAGCTGTGCAACGAAATTGTCGTTAACTCCAACGAGTTATAGAATCCCAGTGCTGGTCTGTTCTTTTCAGCTGCACTGCTGAACTTGTGCAATAAGTTAAAGTGAGACAAGTATATGTTTTCTCACTCTAACTTATTGCACCAGTTCAGCAGTGCAGCTGAAAAGAACAGACCACTCAAATTATGCTAGGCTGACACGCGAAATTCATACATAAAAAATGGTTTCTGTAGAGCGATGTTTTGACGTACACTTTTACACCACACCGTCAGATGCCACCCGGATAGGTTTCTATTCGCGTTTCGATGATTCAATCGTTTCTGCCATCTGATAATAGGTGGTTCCACTTGTCTCTCAGTCGATTTGACACACTCTACTTATAGTTGCTCGTGCGATAATGGCGATTGCTAGATGAAAGAGAAAAAGGGAGAGAGAGAGAGAGAGAGGAGTGTTGTGCAAAGAAGGAGAATTAATCGTTTATCGTGGACGCTGATTTTCGTGAGGTAAGAATAAACGTGAATTTGTGTCCTTTCCGATTCATTCCGTCGTGATTCGTACGAATCGATCGGATTACGATCTGACGGTAACGACGATACATAAATCACGGGGCGCATGACGGCCGTCTTTTCCTCCAGCCATACCTGAGTACAATAATAGATTTGGCTGGAACCTGCAGCCTGATTAAATAAATAGTATTGTGTCTCTGCCTTTCTCGGACTGCTCCGCCAGTGGCGTCCGTCTCTATCCCGTTGCCGTTCGAGCGAGCGCATCTTTAACGTAACTCGACGTTTTTCCATTCGTAATTTCGAAATACGTATACATAACCTATATCGCTGTTGCGAGATTAAATTGTTACGTGCGTGATATTACATGCAGATAACGAAATACGTTTGATGCTGTAGAGTCCGCGCGCGAGCGAGTATAGCTCAGCTGAGCGTATGTGTCGTGTGAGGTATTGTTCATTGAAAAGAAAAAATCTGATCCTCCTGTACTCTCAAAAGTACTAAAAGTACTAAGGAAGACTGCGCATCTTGCTTCACGATAATCTTGTCGCGATTGTACAGGCAATGAAAGTTTCGCACTCCTGCAATTGAAATTTATTCTCGACGTTACTTCGCCAGAATTTTCTATCAATGTGTATGTATTTTTTGTTGTTACAGAAAGCAGGTATGGAAGGCCAACAGTTCTGTTTGCGGTGGCATAATTTCCAAAATACACTTTTGAGCTCTCTCCCAAAGTTGCTTGACGGTGGTCATCTAACAGATGTCACATTGAGCGCTGGTGGTAGACATATTCATGCTCACAGAATCATATTATCTGCTTGTAGTTATTATTTTAAAGAACTGTTTAAGGTATTTATAAAGATGTTTTATTTATGCTACGCAAGTGGATATCTGTGCAACACACCGATCTATTAACAGCAAACATCCAAGTTTCTCTAATATTTATATATTCCAGTTTTAACAACATATCCTTTGATTGCTTCTCTGTTGCCTCTGTTCTAACTTATTCCAACAATGAGACAATATAGAATCTTATGAATACCTATGAGACAACCTTATGAATAATTTTTTTTTAGGACTTAAGCTCTTTACAACATCCTGTTATTGTGTTACCAGGCATGGAATATGCAAATTTGTGTGCTCTAGTCACATTTATGTATAATGGAGAGGTGAATATTTACCAGGAACAATTGCCTGCACTTTTAGCTATGGCTGATACATTGCACATTCGTGGATTAGCTGATATAGCTGGGGTAAGTTTTTTCTACCAAACAATATAACAAAATATAGAAAACTAATTATGTCTAAAGTATTAGAAGATAAGAGATTCGTATCAAGTATTGGAAAAGTTGCATAATGTATCTCTTTCTGCCTACTTCTCTCTATGTTACACTTTCCAAATGTATATCTTCTGGGTCAACCTCTAATTTTTTTTCCTGTTTAGTATTTATGGCGTCACGTAGAACGTTTAATCAAAGTTTACGTTTAACGCTTTGAATATAATTATTTATATAAGAAGTAAATAATATTTCTCTCTAGATAAAAAAGAATAGCATAACGTGATTATATATTATGTTGTAATGTATCGAGAAATAAAGACTGTGATATTAATGGCGTGCTATTTGGTACTTAAAGGTAATTAGCATGAGTAAAACACTTAATCTCTTTAATATACCTGCATTCGAGCGAAATATTTCAGATTGCTTATAACAAAGCATGTACTTTGTAAAAATGTTATAGAAATCAGAATTCCCCTAACACATGGTTCGTATTATTTTTCGTGTAAACACGTACTAAAAATTTTTACCTTACAAACATGTATGCAAATTTATGTATGAAATAACTATAGATACATTCGTATACTCAACAGAGTGTAGCCAATATGTAATATATATATGTATATACAGCCGAATCTTGTGCAACAATTTTCATTAACGAGTTGCGACATTTTAAACCACAATAGACTTCTTCCTTTTTTTTTTTTATTAACACCGGCATCATGCTAGACAATTGTTTATGCATTGTAATATTCAATTGATAGTACTTGTATATTCTCAGTACCCGATAAAGACGCGATACTGCTTGCAAAATATTATTTTGTATTACTACAATTGTAATCAGTACTTTGGATATCACAGCAACTTACAATACGCTATAAATTCATATCCTCGCAACATGCATGTGTGATGCCAAACATTCTGAAAATTACAAAGTTGCCACAGTATCGTTGTAAATATCTCGATGAAACTACTAAAAGATCAATCCCTTGACATTTATTCAGCAGATCAAAAAGAACGGAATAAAATTCATGTTCGCTTGTTCCTTTCTTCTTAATCTTTTTTATATTACCCTATGATCGTGTTGTTTTGTTCAGGTCACTTAAACACATTCACTGTCGTTCCTCAAGAAGTACTTCACGAAGGAATTATCCGCTACACATATTATGTTCGTACATGCATCGAGAAGGAACGATAATGAATAAAAAAACGATATCCACGAGATCAAGATCGTTGTGTGTGTTGCAACTAAATGCAAGTGGATGCATCCCATGGAACCTTACCCCATAGAATGACTTTACAGGTATATCTAAAATAGCTTCTTCCAACGAATCTTTAAATTACTAAACTGTTATTAGCGAAAATTAGAACGGCGATTTTATACAACACATATGTTTTCCGCAGTACAGTAATACTTAACACTTTAGTCAAGTGTGGTGATGTAACAAATGTTTAGCATTAATTTTGTCAAGTCTAGAGGCATCATTGGCGAAAGTACAGGAAAAATTGCATGAGATATATTTTCGGGTAAAATAATTCTTGCAAATGTATTTCCGTAAGAAATCAGTTGGCGATCGTGAATTTGAACTGATAATGCTCGGCATTAGTTAATTCTTGAATTGAAATTTTTCAAAAGAGCGGATATTTTGTTGGAGTAATCATCGTTTACAAATATATATCTGTAATGATTAATGTCACAAATATGTTTAAAAAATTCATCATGCTAAGTATCCTTAAGTAATATTTCTTACATGTTCATTTTTATAACAACCAAATTGCACAAAAGAAGGTAATTAATGTGCAATCTGTAATATGATGTATAATATAAAGTAAGCCACGATTTCAAGAAAGTGGTCCATTTTGTTGAATCTTCAAAAATTTATCGAAATTCATTTTCTATGTTGTATGTCATTAATATCCACATATGTATATATATTTTTATGGCTGCTGGAATACGATCATTATAAATCTGAAAAGACAGAAGGGTTTATATCGATATAAATTTATGTAATAGCATTATGTGTGTGTGTTATTTTAATATCGCAAGTCCCAATATCTTCAGTAGACACACATAGACCAGATATACGACGCTGCACACATAGAAAAACATTTTTACCATCACAGTTGATACTGGCATCGGAGACCGTCGTAATGTTGTTCCTTTAATGGAGAAACACGGCGATCGTTTCGATCCAATTGACCTGATTTCGTGCGTTTTTTCTGTTTTTCATTTCAGAAAAACGCGAGACACGACAACGGCTTGCACGTACAGCCACCGGTGGCGACACAGCCTCAAGAGAAAGTCTTGCCCAACGAGATGCTAATAAAGAAGGAGTCGAAGGATAACAATATCGCGAGTGCCGAATCGTCGGCGGAATTGGTGTCCGCGCCGTTGCTACCGGAAGCAATGGATAATTTAGACGAGGAGTCGAGCAACGAACGCGAGAGTATACCGTATTGCGTGAAGACAAAACCCTATTACTCTATAAACGCGAAGCTAAATCAAAGAGAAAAGGTACCTGCCGTTCCTGTTAACGCGTCGGCCGCGAATAAGTATATCGATAAAACGTACTCTGAGAGCGGAATGGACGAAACAGCCGCGCCGCTGCCGATAGAGGATCGCTCGATTACGCCCGTGATAGAGGATGTGAGACCACCACCACCACCACCGGCGGTGTGGGACGCGAATTTCAAGTTTCTCGCGGCATCCGCGCCTAGCAGGACCACCCCTCAGACTTATAATAAGTCCAGTGTCACCTGTCTTATTTGTGGCAAACAGTTAAGCAATCAGTACAATCTGCGGGTACACATGGAGACTCACAGCAACAGCTCGTATAGTTGCGCGGCGTGTTCGCACGTGTCGCGATCCCGAGACGCTCTCAGGAAGCACGTGTCATACAGGCATCCGGTGACTCCTCCGCAGAAACGTACACGTTACAGTACATCGAAGCCATAGAAATTTCTACCTGTGTTACGATAGACACTTTTTAACCCCTCGCTAGGATCTCTGGATCGAAAATTTATCAATTTTGCGTGATCACCCAATTATGGTTCGGGGTGAGAGACAGTGAATGAGTGTGAGTGAATGAGAAAGAGAGAGAAAAAAGCAAAATATTTTATTAAATATATTGAATAAACGTATAGAGACACGCGCACACACACACACACACACACACACACACACACACACACACAGAGACACACACACACACGTGTGTTATATATATAAAAATTATTGAACTAGAGACTAGACTAATGAGAAAGAGCTCATGGTACCTCAATTATTTCTGTAAGAGACACTCAGCACCGGACTGATTAATAATAAGACAATTAATAACATCTTACTCTTTGTTAAGTGTACAAATAGTAAAGTAAAAAAAGCGTGACATGTTCCTGAAGACCCTTAGTGTTCGAATTGTTATCGTTTTCTTGTTATTGTTACACCGTTTTAATAAAGATGTATTAGATAACGAAACTAGTGTGATTCGTAGCGTCGGATGCGATATAACCCGCGTTTATTTCAATAAGAAAGAACGATTTATATAAATACATAGGGTGTGGCTTATTCTATATTAGTGAAAGTAATACAAAACGTGTAAAAGATTGCAATATAATTTTTTAATCATATATCAAGGATCGTATTAAAAAATAATATACAATATCCATATAGACTACGAAATAAATAAAATGCTTCCAAAGTTTGCAGTTTCCTTAATAGTGATAATAAATTCTTCAAAAAGTTAATTATATCTTTTGTATACGCCACATTTTAGTGTTGCAGTCCTGGCCGACTGAGATTAGCGTTTCCTCGTCCAGCCAGACTAAACGCGTTATTTGGCTCTGCGGATGCGCATCTAAAACGTGAAGTTTCGTCTATTAATTACGGTCCGTTGTTACGGTATGTCGAAGACAGATTCGTTAGCTTTGCTTACTTTTGATGATGGTGTGTTTTGCCGGATTCGTCACGCTCCAGATGATAATGGTCGTGTCGAGGCTGCCGCTTGCAACCATGTCAGAGTTTGGAGACCATGCGACAGAGTTCACTCTCGCGTTATGGAAACCCCATTCTCTATTATGTGCAAGCTGCAAAATTTCAAATTTAAATCTTAAATCCGTATTTTACACACACACGTACGTAATTATATTCATACAATATACATGTATCTAGTTTGAGTTTTACTTACCCTCTGATAATCCAATTAGCAGATAACAAGCCATTAATAACAATTTATTAAAATAGGAAGCATAGACGATTTGATTTGTGCATTGCTCAACGTTATTAGTGCATCAAATATAAATTATGTATACAAATAGTTATTAAATAATAGTGAGTCACAAATGTGATTCACAAATGTATTCATTTATTAAAAAAAATTTATTATTATTGTTACTGTACTGAGTTTTTCTATTAAATAGCCCGCTACTGATACTCTACATATAAAGTTAAGTTCAAGTTAGATACGAATTATTGATATATATGTAATTTTTACTTTACCTTATATTCTGGTACACCGTATAGTATAACTTTTCTGTTAGCATCACAGGCGACTAGGTATTTATTATCAGGGCTGTACGAGACATCCGTAATCGGGCCTAGGTGTTCTAGTTCAGTCTTTTCAGTAAGCGTACTGTCTGACAGTTCGTAAATATGAACCTATATCAACAGCACATTGCACAGTTTAACGGCATCGTCTTCACATTCCTTGTACCTTATAAACGTAAAGGACATACTTTATTATCCGATGTGCATCCAACGGCCACTTCTCCCGTTTCTTGATTAATCGATACACACGATGGCTCGTGATCGATCGGCACGCTAGACAGCTTTTTACCGTTTTGTGTAACAGCGATCTACAAGAAACATAACATCGATGTAATATTGTTACGCGAATGATCATGGCGTGTACCACACATGTATTACTTACCTGTCGAACCGAAGCCACTACGACCATGTTCTTGTATATATCAAGACCTCGTGGTTGCGAGTCCAATTTTACTACGGAAGTTTCCGCGTACGAATTCGTCGCTATATCAACCGATCTTAAAGTGTCATCGATACCAGCAGTATAGAGCAAGTTATCCGCCGCCTTCATTCCATTAATCTGATTACCATGACCGTGCCCTTGCACACGATCATTCTCCCCCGTCCCCGCGTTCCAATTGGTGATGTAACCATCGTGAGAACCAGTGTAAATAGTATCTCTATCGGGACTTAGAGTTAGCACCGTTATTGGTTTATTATGACCCTGTAAAAAGTGGAGTCGAAGAGAAAGCATTAGAGGGGAGTCAGACCGAGACCTCGGCAGATAGCCGTGATACGAGAAATTACTTTTATTATCCTTATAGGCTTCTGAGGATTGTCGACGTCAAGATAATTGATGAAGCCACTAAGCGACACGGACAGCAGGTGTTTTCCTTGCCACAGACAGCTCACCTAGAAGCACGAATTATTTCAATTTATTGCATACTATTTCTTTCTCCATATTCTATGTCGATTATACGAGTTACAAACTTGTTGATCATCGACTGTTGTTCCCATGTTGAACTCCGTAATTAAAGTACGCGTCTCCACGTCCCACAGTTTACAAGTCTTATCTCCCGAAGCAGTTAATAACTGTGTGCCATCGGGTTTCCATGCAACCTATAATACGGAAAAAGAAGTCTTGTTTTATAAAAAAAAAAAAAACTGCTCCCGTTCGTATCTCTACTACTACTGAACTACATGATGTGGGTTCAATGAACGAATTCCTCGTACATACCCCGTACACTCCACCTTGATGCGCAGGAGGTCCTAATTCTCCTACAAGATCGGACGTTAGTCCATTATATATGAATACTTTCCCGTCGAATCCACCGGAAGCGAATAGATTTCCGTCGGGTGAGTAACGTACAGTCTGAACGAAACGAGTATGGTCTTGCTTGGTCATCCTGAGCAAATAGAGTGTAATAAGTCGCATGTATGAAGACTGACAAAATAAAAAAGAAATCTCGTAAGTGTCCGTACTTGAATTTGAATGGAGGTCCTTCGAACACGGCGATAGTATTATCTTCGCTTCCAGTTATTAATCTAAACGGTCTTGCTGGTCTAAAATCGCACGAGTTAATGGGTTTACTCTGACCGGAGATTTCACCCACAGACGTTCCCGTTTCCGCCATGAAGACGTGTCCGAATCTAGGCAGAATTATTCCCGCGTTAACGATACTTTTCCGGGGGTAGATTTTTCTCATTATTAAGTCACGTTTAAGTTGTTTTTACTTTTCTCTGCCTTCTCCAACCACAACCATACGCTGACTGTCTGGTGACCAAGCAATGTCTTTGATGGGTCCGCCGATTGAGTGGTATTCATTTTTTAATATATGTTCTTTGTTAACTGTATCCCAGATACGTACTTTACCCGACTGATCTGAAATAAAGCAATCATCAAGTATCATGTACATCCATTGACCATTTTGCTCATTATATATATAATCATGCATATTCTCTCTTAATTTTATAGATACAAGCATTATCAGTATAATATCACACATACCTCCTGAAGCTATGTAGAAACCACTAGGAGAATATTTGGCAACAATCACAGAGCAAGAATGTTCTGTGTAGACATCTGCAATTGCTGGATTCTATAAAATATTTAGAAATATTAATCGATGTGTACATTTATGATTGCATAATGAAGGTTGTTTATTGCAGAATTGAAACTCACATCAATATTTCTAATGATAACACTATTGCCATTAGTGTATAAAAAATTCTTTCCTTTAGGATCACCCCCTAATACAAGAGGTTGGCCTCTTTGAGTCCTTGGCAATGCAGCAAATATATACTCTACAAATGTACAAAGTAAAAACAAAATAAGAAAAAGACATTTTTAATAGTAAATTATAATAAATAATTATGTGCTAAAGAAGAAAAAACGAGTAATTGTTTTCTCACTCTCTAACAAAAAGTGAAAAATTTTTTTAATAAATAAAAGTTTTTAATGAAAGATGGAATAATGGGGATTCTATTAATAGCAGGAGAGATCAAATGTCACACGAACAACGCATAATGCATCCTGGTGCTGGAACTAAAATACCTTTCCTTGATACATTGGCATGAGTCCAATTCCTAATGTCTTACATTATTTTGAGCGCTAACAAGCCACGGTATCCTACATCATATAATTTTTCTATGTTTTCTAATAGTAGTATCATTGACAAAATTTTATATATATATATATATATATAATAGTAAATAAATTACACATAACTGGATAAAATATAAAAAATAAGATTTTTAGTAAAATAATTTACTAGATTTATAATTAATTTATTTTACATCTTGTAATGAATGTGTGATACACATAAGCTTGAATATATCGTTCATTATAATTTCTGAAACTTTTATTATTACAGGTGTATGTTAAAAAACTCTCAAGTATTTTTATCACAAAATTTCATCTTATCTTATTTGTTTGTCTGATAGGAACACAACTCCAAATGTATTCCTTATCTAAGATTTGATTAAGTTTTGCGAGTCGATATCTATCACTGTCATCTCTCTTTTCTTTTTCTCTCTCTCTCTCTCTTATTCATTTTTATCTTTCTATGTTATCTCCATAATTTTTATTTATACGTTTATTACGCATTTTTTATTTATACGCACAAAGTATTTAAGAGAAATCTCGACGTATATTCCATCTGTGAAATTCGATTAAAAAGCCACATAATTTCCTGTCATCCAGTGTACATTAATTGACAATAGTACACGCGTCCGGCGTGTCATGTCATACGATGATGCGACTCTACTCAAGTGACAATTAAAAAAAGAAAGCAAAATGAAACATAACATTTTGCCGGTAAATAAATACGAAAAACATGCAGAGTTTCAAATTCCCACGCGTGCCGATCCCGTTATATTGTAACGGGCTTTTTAGAATTTCACCGGAGATAAGCAAACCGGAAAATTGCAGAGAGATCTCTCAGTGTAGCCGTCAGGTATCGTATACAGCAGAAACGGCAGAGTCAAAGCGATACGTGGACGAGAGCGATTGACGTATTCGCCGTTTGCCGCAACTTACTTGTTTCATACATCTCGCCGGCAATCGCCTCTCCGTGTCCGATAGTAATTAACGAAACTGACCGGGACAAGTCGATGCGACGTTCACGACAGTATACGTATGATAGCTCGACGACAGCACCTCCCACACACTCGCGTTTGCAATACTTGTTCCGCCCTTCGCCTTATTTGGTTGAAGCACGAGTCGCACAGTTGATAGATCGTTCGTAGTGCGCGCGTAACAGATGCGGCTCAAGGCAACGGCTTCTATCGAGAGTTCGACCAACTACAAACACCCATTTTTTCTGCTTGCACTACCTGTGCAGGAGATGCAGTAGAGCGTAGCTAGAAGAAACGGATTTGAAGATCAATGTGCGTATAGACGTCGGTAATTATCGTCGAATATAAGGTCTGTTCTTTCACTCTGTACTGCTGCACTGGTGCGATAAATTAGAGTGAAACAAATATATATTTGTCTCACACTAACTAGTTGCACCAGTGCAGCAGTGCAGAGCGAAAGAACAGATCTATTGTCTGTTCTTTTTAGTTGCACTGCTGCACATAGACGTCGACAATGGGCGCGGAAAAAGCGCTCAGTGAACAATCAGCGATTATTGATTCTTAGATCCCTAAATTTAGACCAATTATATTGCCGAATTACTCAACTGTGTGCAACTGTTGAGTTCGCTGAACGCATCCTATGCGCGCGTTCAGCGGAAAAAGCACTCAGTGAGCAATCAACGATTATTCGTTCTTACTGTTAGATCCCTAAATCTAGACCAATTATATTAACGAATTGCTCAACTGTTGTGTAACTGTTGAGTTCGCTGAACGCACCCGTTGTTGTCGGATATAAGGTCTGTTCTTTCGCTCTGCACTGCTGAACTAGTGTAATTCCACATAGCAGAGATGTTCAAAATATATCATAAGGATATTCTAAAGATATATTTGGAATATGTGATATCTTCAAGATATCACTATGATGTATTTGGGATATTCCTGCTGTGTGGGATAAGTTAAGGTCGGTTTATAATAATCGTAATCCATTAACTTATGCTGGAATCGTAAAAAATTGATCAAGGTTCAAAATTGCTTCATGTCGGTTGATTTATTATAGATATCTGATAATTCGAGTGTAAAACCTTGTAAAACTATCGCAACCTTTTAATTTTACAGCGTAATTTTTAGAGAAACAAATGAGGCATGATGATTGGCCAGCCGGCGCTACGCCCAGCGCCTCGAGTGCGTATTTCACGAATCAATCACTGCAACGTTCAAGTCAACTGTAAACAGAACGAGCGCGAAGTCGGGATTCAGAAAGCCGTTCCTCGTTTCCGCGATTTCGGTTGACTAAAGGTGAGTTATCACGCGAATTGTTGTCGATAGTAATGTTCGCTGACGTGACGTGACATTGTCGAACAGTCGTCGAAAACGAAGTGTCATCGCGAAACGGATTGTCGAATATAACGTGCTAGTGTAGAAGTTTATATAACCAAATCAGCACCCTTTGCATCCTCGATTGTCAACCGGCAGTCTGACGTTAATCACCGCCGAGAATGCCGAAGATATGTTCCGTGCGACTTATAAGACAAAATATCATTGTGACAAGCACATTCGTGTGACCGTTGGCCGAAAGCGTCGAGTGAAGTGTCGCGCGAGCCGTGACTTCGAGAATCGCAATCGTCTTAGTTCCGTTATGGCAGCAGTTCCGGAACGAGCCGCGACGCGCCAACGATGCCGAATAACCGTTACATACTTCTCGCGATCTGGATTCCCTGAGAGCGAGTCTCGCGCGCGAATTCTCGTCGTCGGGAGTGCCGAGAGCAAGTTGCGCGCGTCGATCGTCAGTCAGCCGTCGAGAATATCTCGCTAAACGGATTATCACGCAAAGTGTCGCACGAGTTACGATACGTGAGCGTTGGCGTTCAACTCGACATCTGCATCTTCGACTTGCCCACGAATAGTCTGACGTGAATCATCACCGCGAGTGCCGAAAATGAAACTCATTTCGTGCGCCTGGTAAGACGAAATATCATCAGAAATACGTCTCATGTAACGGTTACCTGAAAGTATCGAGTGAAGTATCGCACGCGTTGCAACTTCGAGAATCGCAATCGTCACAATATGGCGACGGTTTCGAGATAATCGCAGCGCGATTATCCGTCTCGGCAACACCATCCCCTACTTTTCTGTCTGTACTTTTTAGCTGAACTGTCTGAACTGATGCACATTAGTACAATAAGTTAGAGTGAGACGAATATATTTTGTCTCACTCTAACTCTCTTATTGCTCCAATTCAGATAAATCAGCTGAAAAGAAACTCTCGTGTTTCTCGCGATCTCGACTCGTAAAATATCGTGAATCTCGTGTGTTTACGGTAACAACACATCGCCAAGTCGCAAGAACTGAAAATGCATATCCTTGCGGAGCGAAAATTGGGAAGTGCTGGAAGGAAATACCTCCCAGTAAACATGCATGTCTAAAAGATGTCGAAAAGATATCTAAAAGATATCTTATGCAACATTTTGTTGCATAAGACGTCTTTTAGATATCTTTTCGACATCTTTTAGACATGCATGTTTACTGGGCTCACGTTCGTTGCGTCGACAGTGCTTCAAGGTTCAAATTGTTGCGCCTCCACTTCCTCTCCTTTCCTCCTCCTGCCGCCGAAGGTGAGTCTCGAAAGTAATATAAGTAAAATTTCTTTTCGTTTAATCATATAAAATATATTCTTGCAAGTATTTTTCTCAAACAAGAATGTCCTATTTTTCTATGTCGCAGAGACAACACACAATATTTACAAAATATTTTAGAAATATAGACATTAAATATTTTATAAATATTAAAATGTCTGAGATTTTCAGGTATAGAAAGGATTATAATAAATATTTAAAAATATTTATAAAAAACATTTTTCATCAATACTTTTATGAAAAAAATTATAATTTATGAAAGATTTATGATAAATATTTTTCATATATATTTTTAAATATTTATCATAATTTTTTCATATCTGAAAATCTCGGACATTAGAATGTTTATAAATTATTCAATATCTATATTTCTAAAATATTTTGTAAATATTGTGTGCTGTCTGGGATACGCTCTATTGATGTACGCAGTCATTATATACTTTCACAACGTATTTATTAAACGAATATATCTTATTGTACTTTCATTTTTGCGTATTGTACAAGTTTAAGGAATAAATGGTCGAGTACATTCATTAATATTACGCAACAGCTTCATATATTCGCATGCTTGTTTATATAAAAACAATAAAAAATGCAGTATAACTTGTATCTAGCGTTTTTGTCTGCTCTAATAACATCGATCTATTATGTGTGTGTGTATGTATGTACAACACGCAATACTTATATATGCAATATTACCAGCACGAAATATATAAACTAACATTACATTGGAATCGTTAAAACCAAATAATAACGTTGAATTCGTGGCATATTCGTACAACGTATACTCTCGTGTGTATTCGTATAAAAAATATACTCTGTGTTTCGTATTCGACGGTACAACCAAGAAATGAGCCTTATCCTTATCGTAGAACGTCTTATTGACAATCTAATAATACACTGAGAGAAAAAGAGAGAGAGAGAAAAATATCTAAAAAATAAAAACTATTCAGTGGGTATTAATAATACAGTTATTTAAATCGAAATTCTTGTATTTAAATAGAATAAACAATCGCTTTGATGAAAAACTAAGCTTTTAAGAGAAAATGTAAATTTCCTTATATTCGAAGTATATTTTATTTATATTATTATAAGTAAATATGTTGTTTTAGTATCTCTCTATCGCGAATAAATATTCTTTCACTTCTCAGATACTTTCTCTCATAATGTACATAATATGAACGACCTCATCCAAACGGAGTTAACGCTTACTTCCTTGCATACCAATAATTAGCCAACACACAGCGTATTCACATTTGTCAAGCACCGCGTTAGTCTTAATTTATCACATTTTCTTATTCGTACGTTAATCTCGCATCGAGTATATATTACGATTGTGCTATATGCTTTATCACACTTCGCTAGTATTATCAAGCGTTGAGCATTAATCGACGAAGATTTCTTTTGACTGAAACAATCGGTGATTCAACAATCAAAACTAACAAATCGTCATATGTAATATCATAAGTAATTTCATCAATTGACAAAATTAATTGCTAATCAAAATTGTCATGTGACTGATTATGTATTGATTAAAAATCAATTTCAGTTATTAGAGCAGACAAAAACACTAGATACAAGTTACACTGCATTTTTTGTTATTTTTATGTAAACAAGCATGCGAATATATGAAGCTGTTGCGTAATATTAATGAATGTACTCGACCATTTATTCCTTAAACTTGTACAATATGCAAAAATGAAAGTACAATAAGATATATTCGTTTAATAAATACGTTGTGAAAGTATATAATGACGATATCAATCGATTAAATTATTCGTGCAATTACATATATGACAATTGATTAATTTCGTTTGTTGATTTGCTGATTATTTCGGCCGCAAAAAATGTTTCATTTAGACCGACGCCCAACACCGGTTCTACCTGTTTCTTATCGATGTGTGCTTAATATTATAATTGGGACGATTTTGTCGAGAATATTCACATGAAGAAAATATTGTACACTGAAAAAAAAATGTCACAAAATTTAACAAAAAACTAAAATTTAACAAATATGTCTTAGGTGGATACTATTAACATATTTACTTAAATCAATAGCCTTTTCATTTAAACCGAGTATTACTTGGTTTAAGTAAACGTATTAATTTTTAAATACTTTTTTCTCAGTGTAGTAAAAATTACAATGCAACTTCAGTAGTCCGGGAATAGACTGGCATTATTGTGAAAATTATGATAAATCATAGTAAAAATGACCATAAACATGATAATTCTTATTACGTTTTACGATGGTCATTTTTACTATAATTTTATTATAATTTTCGTAATAGCGCCGGTCTATTCCCGGACTACTGAAGTTGCAAAATTGTAATTTTTACTACAATATTCTCTCCGTGTACAAAACGAAAAGAGTTATAGTTATCAATTGCAGTCCTCACGTACTACGAATGTAATGATGTCGACCTTCTCTCTTCTACCGATCGTCGTTTGTTCGTGCGGACAATAGATTCAACTGTTGATTGCAGCCCGCAATCCGCAGTAATTCCTGTGTAATTTGCAGAAAATTAATCGTAGACAATTTGCACGATTAACCGTGGTGATTTCCGAAAGCAAACTCACGGTTGCACCTTAAACCTTAATGCAAGATATTGGACGACTATTTAAGACGATACATCATACACCGCGTGAGCGGGATACGGTATTTCGCAGCGAGGTATACTGGTTCCCTTGTATGAGGCGCGTCGAATGAAAAATAACACGTTTTCAATTCGCGATATTGATCGCCATGTTCTTTTTTTTTCTTTTTTTCTTTTCTGATCGAAGTGTCGCCAACACTTCCAAGTGTTCTCCGTTGAAGTTTGAGATGAATCACGACAATCTCATCTCGACACGATTAAATAAATAGCAAATGAATGGAATTAAATAAGTGAAAACACTGAATGATCCTCATGGTCGGCGATTGTCCGCGTTGTCGTCGTTAGTCTACGACTGTACACGTGTGTCCTCCTCGGACGCGCTTGTTATCTTAAGAATCTAATTACCGACCAATCGTCAACTTCCCTCACAATCGCCGCGACTCGCGCGTAAATCACGGGCTCTCTTGTCAGACGAACTTCGCAGTACTCGCTGCACATTCTTCTAATCATCGATCATGATCGTTGATCACGACATGCTCGTGTCCGTCGCGATCGCAGCCATCTGTCTCTCACTTTTTTGTGAGTTCTCCGCGTACCATATCGTAACATACCGCGATAACCGCGACGCCGTTCATCTTCGCGACATCTCGCCGTGGCATTCCGCTCGCGGAAAATCCCTCGTCGTGGTCGCGGAACGGGACAGACGAGTCTCACACGCTCCACGGCATCTCTCGCCTTAAGGCGTTAAGAGACACGGGAGATCGACAGCTCGTCAATAATAACGCAGCCCGCGTTCGTTCATCGTCGCGCCTCGCAAGATCGCCCTTCTCTCGTAGGGCAACGGCTCGCCGCGAAAACGCACTACCGATGGTGCTTGCTGCCGTCTACGTCCCTCGTCGACCGCATAGGACGGCGAGGAGGACATGCCGACCGGCTCCTTCGGGCCCTTCCCGTAGAACGTGCTGCCGCTGCGAGCCTCAATCTCTTCCACGGATGGCAGACGGGAGAACCTCAGCTCGTCCACGTCCTCGTCGCGTGGCAGCGGACGTTTCTGGTCCTCCGGAACCGGTCGGCCGTCCGGATAGACTCGTATCACCATCGGACCGACCAGATACGGGCCGCTGTGCTGCTCCGACGATGGTACGTAGTCGCTGTTGGCCATGCTCTCCTCACCGAGACCGTTTGTCTCGCTGCCACTGCTCGCTGGAACAATCCAAGAGCAAGAGAGAGTCAGAAAGAGAGGCTCTCGTCAGCAAATGAGCGGCGCGACTGAGCTGGTTGATTTGAAAATTCACGTCGCTTTAGTCGCGAGGGGTTGGGCATTCGCGTCGATTCCATCAGGTTCAGATCAGTCAAAGAATTTAACCCTCCGTATACACGCTTACATTTTGTCTACATACTACACGGAAAAAACAATTCTGTTGGTGCAACCGAATTTTCGGTTGCTCAGGGATCAGGCGAAAACTCGGCTGTAGGAACAGAAAAATTCCTTTATGAGGCTTCAGTAAAGTCAATTGTTCTCAGTTGCCTCAACCGAGTTCTAATATCGTTGAATGTTCAGATGAATATTTTCGGTTGCGACAACAGAAATATTAGTTTTCATAACAGAGATATCGCTTCTGATCACCTAATTTTCAGTTGGTTTCTATTTGGTTGCATCAACTGAAATTTTTTTTGCGTGTATACACACTGGAGTCCCGGGTATCCCATCCATATTTATTATTGTAATTATTAGAAATTGATGTATTTCAATTCACTTTTCTTTTAATCTATAGAGAATTGATTAAGGAACAAGTCTATGATAAATCAAAGTCGATAGAACTAAGGAGTTCCGAGATATATGGGTTAAAAGAGAAAATAAACGCGACAAAACCAATCCGAGAAAGTTGCGCTGGGGTCCTAAGGATGTGTATATCCAAGTGTGTATATGGAGAGTTAACAGTGTGTAAGGAACAAGCAAACATTTTATTTTATATATATAGCTTTTAGGAAACAAACTATATGAGAAAAATATTAATTTTTATAAAGTTAAAATTGAGTTTTAAAATTTTTATAAAATTAAAATTAAAGTAAAAAGAAGCTAAAAAATAATCATTTGTCGTTACCATTGGTAACAATGAAGTTGCAAAAGGCTAATTTATTTCAAACATTTGTTCAAACCGAGTAAACCATACTCGATTTAAATGAAAAAAATTTGTATTTAAATAAATATGTATATGTGTGTTGTTAATGGTAACCACTTGAGAAACATTTGTTAATTTCTAAATATTTTTTCTCAGTATATATATTAGGACCTTAACTTAGTTTCCGCCCGCAAATGTTAGATGGCAATGCAAACAGTTCTAGTAGTCATTACTAACGAAACAGGTAGTTTGTGATTAATTTCGACATTTCTCGATAACATTCAGTCAGCATACACAATTATTTTCCTAAACAACAATTTCTTTTGCTTTGTGAAAAATGGAACGC